TTGCCTTGAGTGGAGGCCACAGCTGGCCAGGGCAGGCGGGAAGCTTGGCTTCTTCCTCCATCGCTGGGGCAACCAAGCCTCCTGCTTGCTCCAGCTCCATGGCTGCCGGCCGCCATCTTGGTTGGGTTAATTTGCGTATAGTCACTCTGATTGGCTGGTGGGCTGGCTTGGGACATAGTGGAGGTGCGGTCAATTTGCATGTTTCTCTTTTATTAGATTAGATGATTTCACTATATGTAACATTGATTGGATCTCATTTAGACTGCTGTGAAGAGGTTAAGGTACCATATTTTAAAAGATATATTAATACATTGGAATGATTCTAATAGTTATCCAAGTCATATAAGAGTGGCTGAAACCAGGCTATCTTGTAGGTTAAACATTTATATTCCCATTATACTGAGCCTTCAAGGAAACAGCATCACCCCTCAATAAATTTAGAACAGCATTAAAAACTTGATATTATATTATCCACAAAGTAATGAATGTGAAGCTGTCTTTACAAGAAAATAAAAATAATTTCTGAATATATTTTGAATTAATGTTCTAAATGTAAACACTGCTGATATAAATATCAATACATTAGGTTAATTTTTATTCACATTTATATTAACCCTTTGCGGTCCAATTTTATTTTTGGAATTCAAACAGTCTAGTCCAAATTTATTGACGGGATTGAATGTTGAACCAGTTTGCAGTGTTGACCTCAGCCTCGATGTTGGACCTGCTCCTAGCACCTGGTCTGTCAACTGAAAAAGGGTTAAGATGAAATTGTTCTCTCTATATAATTCACCATGTTAAAGTTAGTAAAGAAACAATAGGTGGGACAAAAGGGTAACTTTTCCAGGGTGTACTAGTAAAGAACACTAACATTTTACCTTGTGCACATAGGTGGAACTCCATTGATAGGAAAAAAAATAGTACATCTGACAAGCCTTTCACCTTTTTTGCTCTGCTCTGAGCATAGCATCAGCAGGATGCCATAATTACCTCAATTCTTCTTGTAGGATTTGGTGTTCTTTTTTCCCCTAAATATAAGTACACAATTTATAGCCTTGGCTCTAAGCTTAACTTTATTAATTTTTTTTATTTGACTATGTTCAATTCATCAATTCCTGCATAGTCTTTACGTTAAGATATATTGCTTGCTTGTTTAGAGAGCTATAGTATAACCCCCAAAATATATATTTTATGTATGTATAGCATATTTGATATATAATTTCATTTGTGACATCTATATTCCTCAAAATGCTATAAAATAATTATGTGGGTTTTTTCTTCCCAAAGGATGTTTCAAAGCCACAGAAATTGTATCCCTAGGAATTAAAATAAAATAAATCCCTAAATACAACAAATGTGTTTCAGAATGAAAAGAAATTTTGGTGGAATAAGCATACATTTTAAATAAGTATTAAGTCATGGCAGGATTTCATTTTGGAATTATCTATCTTGTAACAACACCATTGCGAGGAAATCTTCAAATAGCAAAAGTTCAAATCCAGTTTTGGTACTGTTATATTAGATCACAGGAATTAATGGGGAGTGCATAAATATCTGATATTTTTGCTATAGTTGCCATATATCTCCTATATGTTTTTTTAAAAATAGTCAATACAAAACACACATATAATTTTATTTCCTCCAGCCTATAGAATTAATGAATATATTAGAGAGGGATGTCAAAATTACTGTTGGTCTTAGCTAATTGCAAAAATCCTACCTTACAACTTAGTGGATATATGAATAAGGGCATCAGTAATGAAGACTGCCAGTCATTGTAATTGTCCATAGCATGCTCAAGCTTTTATGCTGCATTTAGCTCTTCAGGAGTTCTATGATAAAGTTGGTAGTTTCTTGCTCTCAAGATATAGTTAATTGCATATTCATTTGATCTTCTATCTATATTTTAATATAATGTCCATAAATTAAATTAGAATATTTTAATTACTTGTTTTATGTCTGTTTCCTCACACATTCCTATCATCATGAGCTGTGAGCTATTCTTAGTTAGATAAATTGTCTAAGAAGGTCCTTAGGCACATATTAATTCCTCGATAAATAAATGAAATATTTATTTATTTTTTAAAATATATTTTACTGATTTTAGAGAAAGGAAGGGAGAGGGATAGAGAGATAGAAGCATCAATGAGAGAGAAACATCAGCCAGCTTCCTGCACGCCCCCTATTGGGGATCTAGCCTGCAACCAAGGTACATGCCCTTGACCAGAATCAAACCCATGACCCTTCAGTCCATGGACCAGCACTCTATCCACTGAGCCAAACCGGTTAGGGCTGAAATACTATTTAAAACAAGCATGAAGGTCAACAGTGATAATATCTTTACATAGTTCTAAAGTTTTGTCATATGCTGAAACTTGGTACTCATGTTAATAGTAATATTCATTTAATATTCACTGAGCATTTGACACATGCTGAGCATGAGCTAAGAGCTTTGCTTGTCTTAAATGCTGTTTATTGCTTTCTATTCATTCCTGCATGAAAGTATTCCTCACTTAAATGATGTGGGGTGCTTCCAGGGAGCATCCCAAACCACACATTCTCAAGTTCCTTCATTCAAGTTATGTTAAATTTTCTCTGAACAGGCCATGTTCTTCATATACCTCTGGGTTATATTATATATTGGCTGCAGTGTTTAAAGTATCTTTATTTCTCCGCTTAAAAAACCCTGATACATTTTTAATACCCAGGTCAAATCACCCCCTCTATGAATACATTCATGACTTCCTTGTCACTTTCTCAAGCAGAATAAGTCACAATTCTTTCTGTGACTCCATATCACATTATACATGTCTTCTTAGTAGTGCCTGTTATTGACATGTGAATCTGCAGTTGTAAGAAGAATATATTATTTATCTTATTGTGCCAAATATCTGCCAAGGAGTCTGACACATAATAGATATTCTATAAAGTCTTGCAGAGTCTTAACAATATACTTTTGTAATAAGAAAGGGGATATAATACGAAACAACATTAAATATATTAAATGATGATTTGATAAGCAATATTTGTTGATATTATGTTTATCAGGAATCATTATATAATTTTCATTTTGTTTTATTCAATATTCATAAATAAGTCACCTCACAGAGCTAAAATAAAAAATAAAATAATTTATTCCTAATCATCTGGAAAACAGAACTATAGTTATCATTATGTATATATTCCACATAATCCCCAGCTCAAAGAACATCTGAAAGACCAATGATAAAAATACATATGTATATAAATATTAAATAGAGCAAGAGTGCCTGCATGTCAAAACCTAGATATAACTGGGTAAGAATCCCTAGTTTGGATTTTAATGCTCAGAACTTTTCTGATAGTTTACAATGAAGTGACCCAATTTCCACTTTACAAAATCCTAAAACTTTATTCATTTTTAAATGTTCATTCTTTAAAACTTACAAAATGGAAATTATGTCATAAACCTTACTAACCTGCAAAGAATATTATCATCATATTGGCTTATGTCAGTAGAATCCATCTGAGGACCAGCTGAAAGAAATTTATGGCTACTTTAAAAAAGACCTAAAGTATGTTTTTCTACTAATACCTTATGCTATTATCTTCAGAGGCTTAAAAATGTATATTCAAAACTATGATATTAGAGACCTATAAATACTGTATGGTTATAATATATACCTCAAGATATGCTTACTTGCCAATTAGTTGTCTCTAATGTTGGCATCTACATACATGCATTTCAAAGAGAGGTGGGGCAAGAGAAAATGAAAGAGAGAGAGAGAGAAAAGCTGAATGATAATATTAAATTTCAACTGGCAATAGGGAGTTGGACCATAATGTACCATAACAGAAGTCTCACTTGAGAAGCCATTTATCCAGTGGCATTAAAAACATTCACATAGTGATGAATATTACCAATATACACACAGTAATCCTGTTGCATTTATTAAAAATAATTTTCTTATAACTCAAAGGTGTTCCTCTGAACTGAGTGTTCAGGAGTCAGGAGTCTCATGGATGAAGACAAGGAGCACAGTTGCTGCAATCCTCAGCAAAAGCACAGTGAGGCTGAAATCTTTTGCCATTACTATAGTTTTTATTTTTAGTAAAGTTTTTTTTTTTAAATATAGCTTTTTTGAAGTAAAGTTGACATGTAAGATTGTAAGCATCCCTTTAACAATACTGTACCTTTTCATCCAAGGCCTTGTGGTGCTCAAACAAAGATTTCAGTGCCTTGAGAACCTCAACTTCACTGGAAACTCCCGAGGGGGACTGGGCTTGCCGTTTTACCACCGTCATTCTCAGTGACCTTTCGTGTCGTGACACAAGGCACTCCAAATGCTCCAGTAACAGCTGTTGAGTTTAACAGAAAATAGAATTATCTTATAGATTTGAATCATTAATTCTTAAAAATGGCTTCCTTAAAATATTGTAGGTTTACATAATATCTAATGATAACCTCAGATTATAATACAGGTAAGTGGCAAAAAGTGCAAACCTGTGTCCAAACCAGGCTTCATAAAATACATTAAAACTAAATAGCATTGCAAGAGGGCATAGAGGGGATAAAGGTGATGGGGGAAATCAACTAAATTACAGGTCATCGACGACGAGGGCAACATCCTGCCGCCCAACACTGAGGGCAACCTTGGCATCAGTATCAAGCCCACCAAGCCCATCGGCCTGTTCATGTTGTATGAGAATGACCCAGTGAAGACAGCCAAAGTGGAGTGTGGGGACTTTTACAACACTGGGGACAAAGCAACTATTGACGAAGAGGGCTACATCTGGTTCCTGGGGAGGGACGATGACATCATCAACTCCTTGGGGTACCGCATTGGGCCGGCAGAGGTGGAGAGCGCCCTGGCCAAGCATCCGGCGGTGGCTGAGTCAGCTGTGGTGAGCAGCCCAGACCCGATGCGAGGGCAGGTGGTGAAGGCCTTCATTGTCCTGACCCCACAGTTTCTGTCCCATGACCCGGACCAGCTCACCAAAGAGCTGCAGAAGCACGTGAAGGCAGTGACAGCCCCGTACAAGTCCCCGAGGAAGGTGGAGTTTGTCCCTGGCAAGATCAAAAGGAGTGAACTTCGGGAAAAGGAGTTTGGTCAGATGGAACGGCACTAAATTCAGCATCCCTTCTGGGTGTGACCTTGGGCAGACCCCTGGCTGTCTTGGTGCCCCCACATGGCGGGCCGAGGGGGGATGTTGAGGGCTGATGGGAAGGGCCCAGGGCGGCCCAGCATTCCCGCATTTCTGTTCTTTTAAGTGAACATCAGTCACTACCCTGCCTCCAAGGCTCTTGTTCCTTTGGATGCCCAGGCGGGCGCTCAGATCGGGGCTGAAGATAATAAAGTGCTGACATCGAAAAAAAAAATAATAATAAATTGCAGGTCTATTATATGAAAAATTACTGAATTTAAAAATATAATGTAAATTGTATACATTCTTTTGGAAAATTTAACCATTTGAGTATGGATTCAGTAGAACACAACGTAATATGTGTGACCCAATATGAAAATTATTAAAGAACATTGCACAATGCATGATGGTTTTGTTAATAATGTTTAAAGTCAAAATTAATTCCATTTATATTTGGTTATTTAAATTTTTTTATTTGAAGGAAATGTACATAATAATCACATGGCTTTAAATGTGATTGTAATGATAATCACATGTTGTATAGTGATTACAGTAATAATCACAATTACCAGTTGCTATAGTAATTATTAGTGATAATCGCTAATAATTTTATGTACAATTAATTCTTAAATTATATCATAAAAATGTATGCAGTCAAATGGAATAGAGTAACTGAAATTAGCAATAGTCATTTTGGAAAAAAAGGTTAAAGGACGTAATTTTATTTTAAATCATTTTTTATTTTTTAATTACAATTGACATGTTATATATATATTAATTTCAGGTATAAATACTTTTTAAACTGAGTAGTCTAGAACCTTCATTTACCCAGAGTGGCCACTGGAGCCATGATAGAAGCCCAGGATAGATAGAAGTCCAGTGGTTTCAGTATGTTACAGACTCTATGCTTTGACTTTTTCCAGACAAAGTTTGTTTTTAAATGTTTCGTGACTTAGAATATCACCTTTATTTTATTTTATGAGGGAGTTCTGCCACTAAAAGCAAAGATACATGAGAAGAAAAATTAAAAAAAAACTACTGGGTTATCAGTTATTAAAATGTTGCTATTGAAGAATAACACATGACCAGTTGGTTTTGTAGGAGAGCTTTTCAGGAGGATGGTGGAAGCGTAGGCTAACAAATGGTGTCTGTACAAAATAAAGCAGAAGTTACTCAAACAAGAGAAAAAACCAAATAGAAGATACTGGGGTGGAAATAAAAAAAACACAATTTAGTTTTTTCCCCAAGATTTTTTCCTAAAGCTTACACAGTAATGAAAATTTTTGATTTTCATAATGTCATTGCTAGATTCAATGTCACATATTAGTATCATATTTCTTAATGTTTATTAAGTTAATGAGTTCTCTACACTTACTGTTTCTAATTATGGGTCAGTGTCAGAAAACTTTTCCATGCCACTGGCATAAAGAAACCTGAGATTCTAAACATATACAAATCAGTAGGTAGAGGTCATGTTTAAGGGTCAAAATAATTGTAATAGAAATTCTGTATGAAGATGACATAAATATTGATATTTTAAGGAGTTTTCCTTTTATTTATCAACTTCTGATTATATTCATGATATTCTACTCCTGAATTCTATAGATACATGCCAGAATTCATTAAATCTAATCAGTTTCAGGTAGGCTATATAGCATTTTATGCACTTAACCCTGCCTATTTCTCCAACATCACCTGGTGTTAGTCTTTCCCTGGCAAAGCATGCTCTAACCACATATGCCTACTTTTGGACCCTCAATATGCTGAGCCTTTGCATATGTTGAAATTTCTGACTGGAATACTCTTCCTTTGGCTCTTCATGTGACCAGCTCTTTCTCGTTCTTTAGTCTTAGTTTAAACATCGCCCTCTCAAAGAAACACTTGCTTGATACTCTATATAAGGTAGGTCTCTCCTCTTCCCAGCCTCCATAATCCTCTACTTGAATCTCTTGCTTATTTTCTTCACAACATATCATGCTGTGTTATTTCTCATGAACAGTTTCACTAAATTTTATTCTGTTTCCTCATTAAAATATAGACTCCACAAGGGTAGGTACTATGTTTATCTTGATTTAAATGATTTGGGTATTTGAATATTGGCTTAGTTCCTGACATCTATAGATACACAATAAGTATTTGTTGAGTGGATACATGTCGGTAATACTGTTGTTTAGAATTTTAATATGGAAAAGGAGCTGATAAAAGTGAGATTGTACTGTAGACTTGACAGTCGTGGTTGCCCCAAATCTTATGAAAAAAACCTCCATATTTAATAGTTCCCCACATTCCGAATGCTATTGTCTCAGTAACATAGGATCCAAGAAACATTTCTCAGTCATGGCTACCACTAGGTGGCAGATATGTGACTTTAGAGTCAGCTCATCAGAGCCACATGCACAGGACAGATTCTGAGGGGTGAGATGAGGAAACGTGATGGGCAGGGCATCTGTTTTGCTGGCACAGGTAGCAGCAGAGGGTGCATGTTACTGGGACGGGGGGGTGTGAGAAAAATTTACAAGACTAAGAAATGTGGTCCTAGAAATTGTGCCTGGAAGCTCAGTTTAGAGATTTTTATATACCTTAATTAATGTTTTCTTGATTAAAACAGCTAAGCTGTACTCTTATGTGCAACTAGGAACTCTCATCTATATAATAATAAAACCAAATGTATTTTTATTAATATAAAACAGACTCCTTAAGAGCTTAAATTAACTTATCTGAATACTCTTCAATACCTAGGAAAATATTCTACATAACATATGCTTAGTACTTGACGATTTAAATTAATGATAAATATAAATTATCTAGCCTGGATAATGTGCCTACAGATATTCTAATGTAGGGTGTATCTATGGCTTTTAAGCTTACAAATTAAAATAAATTAAAAATAAAAAGAACTAATATAAGATAACACTAAATATCTGCTAATTGTACCTTTTCTGGAAGCCACACTTTAGTATAATATTTAATAAAGCTTGCAGAGGTATACTAAAAAAAAATTCAGGGACTATATGAATGGCCATTAATCCTATGTTGGAATTCACTTTAAATGACCACAGCATATATAGATATACAAAGAAACATGTCATATATGCATGCACACATATGGCACCATTGGATATTTTTTAACTAAATTTCTAAAACTATACATCTTTATATTAGCATCTGAATTTGACATAACACTGTGCACAATTATTTACAATCACAAGTGGCATTGAAATAGAAAGCACCCATATATGCATACACATGTATCTTCACCTGCTTTTCACTGCTCGGGTCTTCTTTTTCCTCAATTGGATTGTATTTTATAATCATTGAGGAAATGTCTTTGGAGGAAGTTTATTAATTTGTGTAGAAAGGTTTGTCAGGAATGGGAAGCTTTTCTTTGGTAGTGGCAAGTTTCTGTATTTGAACATTTATATAATTCCTTTAGATAAAAATAAGAGGGCATAGTAAGAATTGATTTAAATTAGGTCTTTAATTTGAATCAAGGACAATTAGGTCTTAGTTTTAGTTTATGACCCATGCTATGAGATTTCAGCTTTGTTATTTCTGACTTTTGAAATCAAAGCTTTCTTTTCAAAGTTATGCAATCGTTACAACCATCCTTTGAGATCGTCAGCCACAAAAACAGTTGAAACAATTCCAAAACAACAACAAAAATTATGTACTCTGAGTCCAGCTGGCATGGCTCAGTGGTTGAGCGTCGACCTATGAACCAGGAGATCAAGGTTCGATTCTCAATTAGGGCACATGCCCAGGCTGCAGGCTGGATCCCCAGTGTGGGGTGTGCAGGAGGCAGCCGATCAATGATTCTCTCTCTTCATTGATGTTTCTATATCTCTCTCTCCCTCTCCCTTCCTCTCTGAAATCAATAAAAACATATTAAAAAATTCTCCACTCTGATATTAAGAGATAGTAACTATATCAACATTTTTGGTTTTCCTTTATCTCTTCATTAATTCAGAGAATTCTGAAGAAAAAGCCATGTAAATTTTAGCAATCAAATTGAATAAGTTGAAATAACATCAGGAATAAGTTATTTTCTCTAAGTATAACTTTGTCTAAGTGTGATCAGAGTTTTAAGAATGACAAGTTTTGTTTAATCACCTTTTTCTATATTTTATTAGTGTGGAAATATTAAACAATAAGGCTTGTTTAATAGTTTCTGTAAATACTTGCTATAATATTTGTACAATCAAGTATAACATTAGAATGCTTTTATTTGGATGTCCTCAATTTAATTACTTGAGGCAGTTAGATTTTCATTCACTCATATTTCGGGGCAGGGGACCAATTGTTTCTGTAGTGACAACGTGATACATAGCCACAACTTTCAGCTTGGACATCACAATAAATACCTAGTACATTATTTTCCACACAATTGAGGCAAAAATAAATTATTGAACAGATTAGAAATGAATTACAAAAAAAAAGAGAGCTCTGCTCTTCCTTAAACACAATTTTGTCATAGCAGATGTGATTTGTGAATTACATAGGAATATGATTTCTTAGATACATCACCTGTGGTTAAGCTGAGCAATGGGTTCCCTGGGTGTGTCACTTACCAGTCATGTGACCTGATGCAAGTTACTTATTATGTTAGTTTTCCCATCAGTCAAGTGGGGAAAGTGGGAGTGCCACAAGGATAAAGTGGGTTAAACTTGTGAAACCCTTAGAAAAACATTTTGTACTTAATTAATTTAGCTATTATATTATTTTTATTACTTGATATATTAAATAAACTTTATTCATTCAACTCCATTGAAAACTTCCATTTTCTATTTCAAAGAAGGTATAATTCATCCAAATATCAAACAGGAGGGCCCTTCTGATCTATTTTTTATGATACTCAAAATTAACACAAATACCTCTATCCATTTATGAGTTCTCTTTGTGATTGTCTTTTTTTGTGTTATTTCAACCCATATGTTAACTACTCAAGATAAAAGGACAAGTTTATGAGAACCGTGAAAATTAAAACATGCAATTCTACTTTAAACTTTCTCACAATCTAATACCAATAAAAAATTTTTGCAGGTGTGAGAAGAAAATACTAGCTTGTTACTTTCTCTAAATGGCCAATAAGTAGGTGTTTATAGCAAGGGGAAAACACAATATGTAGAAGAAAAATGACTATATAAAATCTATGAAACTGTTAAATTTAGCAACATTTAATAGGGCATTATGGAGGAAGAGACAGGTATGGCTAGTTTTCAGCCCTTTATATTTTTTGTGTGGTGGAGAAGGTCAGAGGTGATTATGTAACTTAGGTAGTTGTCATATAGTCAATACTTTGCACAAGGAAGACTTCATAAATTCATTTTCCTTTGACATAATCAACAAAAAAATCCTCCATATAACTGATTTTAAGGAAAGTAGAGAAATGTTTTCTAGGTGGAGGACAGGTGGAAAAAGTAAAGGGGATTAAGAAGTACAAATCACCAATTATAAAAATAGTCACAGGGCTGTAGGGAATCTATACTAATAAAAGAGCAATATGCTAATTAGACCGGACAGCCATATGATCTTCTGGATGTCCTTCTGGACAAAGCCGAGGTGGCAGAGGCCAAGGCAGAGGTGGTTAGGGGTGATGAGGCAGGCAGTGGAGCAGTTAGGGGCGATCATGCCAGTAGGGGAGCAGTTAGGGAGCGATCAGGCTGGCAGGGGAGCAGTTAGGGAGCAATCAGGCCGGCAGGGGAACAGTTAGGGGCATCAGATAGGTAGGCAGAAGTGATTAGGGTTGATCAGGCAGGCAGGCAGAGAGGTTAGAGGTGATCAGGCAGGAAGGCAGGCGAGCAGTTAGGAGCCAGCGGTTCCAGATTGCGAGAGGGATGTCCGACTGTCTAAACTGGCAGTCGGACATCCCTGAGGGGTCCTGGATTGGAGAGAGTGCAGGCCAGGCTGAGGGACCTCCCCCTCTCCCGTGCACGAATTTCATGCACCAGGCTTCTAGTATAGTCAATAATACTGTAATAACTATGAATGGTGGCAGATGAGTACTAGACAGATTTCGGTGATGACTTCATAAGGTACATATATGTCTAATCACCAATTTGTACACCTGAAAGTAATATAGTATTGTATGTCAAAAATAATTTTAAATGAATTTTAAAAGAAAGGAAAGAAAAACATTCTCCAGGTTTATCCATGTTTTCAAAGTAACTATTATTCATGTTTAAAATCAATGGCTTCAATTTCTACTGTCCTAATGAAACTTAATACTTGTATTTTGCTCACATTGACTCCTGAATAGGTATTGCAAATATAGCTTGCCTTTGTTCTTTTATTACCCAAGATCCTTTGCAGGTACAATAGTCAAAGGTACTTTGGACCTCTTGTGGTATAATATGGTGAAAACCGTGTGGATGATGTCCCCCAATCTCCCTGTTCTCTGAAATTAGTCACAATTAAGGAGAACGGACATACTCTATATGGTAGCTATTAATTCTTAGGCAATGTCTCATATAAGCTGTAGTAAATCTAGGCGTTTTTTCATGGATTTAAATTGAATAATTGTGCTGAAGGCCTTATGGCTAAGGGTACAGGCTCTGGAGTTATTCTGCCTTAGTTTTTAAATCCCTTATGTGCTATTTATCACTGCATGACTTCTGGCAAGTTATCTGCCCTTTTCTGAGCTCAGCTGACTCATCTGCAAAATGGAGATAATTATAACATCTCCCACATAGGGCTGTGGAAAGGGGTAACAGGGATGTGGAAAGAAAGGCTACATAAAGCAGAAATAGATACACAACCAATAAGAGAGTTTCTGTGCATTTTAAATATGAGAAATAGTCGAAAGCTACCTGGCGGTTTGCATCTCCCTCCATTTTCAGCTTCTGGCTCCTACTTTTACATTTGGCATATTGTGCTACATCAGGAAATGTAGCCAAAAGTGTTAAAATAGAGAGCAGTGAAACTGGGCAGAATAAGGCTCATGGCAGAAATAAACTTTAAATTTGGGTGGGAAAAAATACAGTGCAACTCAAAAGTCAAGGGTGGGCCAATATATAGAGGGAGAAAAAAAATTAACCTGACCCCTAAATAACAGGATCTAAACTTCTCATTTTGTCCTATTTGTAGCACCATGAGACTGGCTCATCAAAGTCACAATAAAAACCAGTTCCTGTGTGCACACGCATAAAACAAGCCCCTGATGAATAAGGAGATAAACTGAATCAGATGATATAACCATTGTTCATATAGCGGTATCTCTCATTAGCGCACTAGCTCAGTGTTTATGAAGGTATAATTTTTATATTACTCTCTAAGACCAAGCATAAAATGAACAAGTACATTAACTATAACTTGTTTTCTCAGCATTAATCTGTTAGAACTCTAACATTTAAAATATTTTTCACCTACTTTATATAAAGTTGAACTACACACAAAAGTATTTTTTCTCTACGTTCATTAGTAGAATAGCTGCTCTCATTTCTGGGCATTATGGTAATTTATATATTTTATTAAATTTAGTGACTTCATAGCTAGAAAAGATGGCATCTTCAATCACATTTTGAACTTGAATGTTAAATGTCATGAGATTGAAACAATACATGGGCTTCCAAGAGGAGAATATAGTATATTCCATCAGTTTCCTAAACTCAGAAATCAGAAATGAAAGTCTCCATGACAATCTTCTAAAACAGAAAAAGTAGGTCTCTTTTAACTTGGAAATTTCTGTTCTAGTGGTTTTGCATTTTAAAACTTTTAAAATTTTTTATAAATAAATATTTTGCTACAACAGTCCCTCATATTACCTCATAATCGAAACTCACGCTCCCCCCTCAAACCTCTCCCCTGTGCCTATCTCCGGCCTCTGAGGTATTGGTCTCCCACTCCAGTATAACACTTTGAAAGTTTGAAATTCTGTATTGAAACCCAGCCTTTCTTTTTAAAATTGGAAAAAGAGAAAAGGACAGGGGAAAAGGACATTTTTTAAGGCAACATAGTAATTTAGTACCCGAAACTCTAATTTAGGTTTCCTGTCTTCCTGTTTTGAGTTTTGTAGTATATTGTCCTTTACTTTAAGTAACCGACTGTAAGTGATGTCTGCTTAAAGTCTCCCTGAAGTTTTTAAATATTTATTTTTATGCCCATATAAGAGATAAGGCACTGAATTAAATATGGAGTCAATTTCAAGCAGAGGCAGTTTTATACTTACTCTTGTGTTATTTCTTTCAGCTTTAAGTTCAGAAATTTCTTCTTCCTTTTCTAGAAGTTGTTCCCTACATGCATTTAATTCTTTTGTCAGTGCAGCAAATTCCTGAAAAGGGAATAAAACATATTTGAAGACACATTTCAAATTAAGGAAAAACAACATTCCAACATAAATTAAAAAAATCAAAATCTAATCTTTTGAATGTAAAGAATGAAAAAAATGAAGCAAATGACTGGCTGTATACATATATTGCTGTTATTAAATTAACTTGATTCCAACATTCAAAAAATTTGAATTCATTATATTTAACATATACATTTTATTATAGTATGCTGCTTAGATGAGTGGATAAAATATATTTCAAAATGTATCAGATATATTGTACTAAACTTAACATTAGTATGATTATATATATATATATATATATATATATATATATATATATATATATATATGTGTGTGTGTGTAAAAAACAGAGAAATATGCTAATTAACCAGGACACCGTAATGGGTTGACCGGATAGGAGGCGATTGCGCGCACAGTGTCGGGGGCGGGACAGCAGGGGCCTCCGCGCGCCTGCGCTGGGAGAGGGCATGATCAACAGTGGCTGTGGCTGCTTCAAGGGCCAGAGAGGGAGTGGGTGGCACCATGCAATTTCGAATCGCACGCTGGGCTCCTAGTGTATTAATAATATAGAAATTTAAATTTGGCTAATTTTGTTAACCCCTCAAAAAATCTTACACTTTTATTCCTATAGAGAGCAATGTTGTGACTGTACATACCAGACCATCAAAGAACACACAACAAAAATACTACCACCAACACCAACCAAAAAAATCCTACTAAATGTGCTATTTAGAGATTAAAAAGTTCATTTACCCATTAACAAGATGAAGAAAGAGAATGTACCTCTTACAAAATAATAAGTGGACTTAAGACTTAATAATATTATCAAAGAGTCTCTTACTAATTGTAAACTCCATATGAAATGGGACTTTGTCTGACTTCACTACTACACTCCCAACATCTACGACATAGTGGGTGCTCAATTGATATTTATTTTCAGTAAATAAAAGTGGGTCACATTATGAAATATTGAAAGTTTTGGAGTATTGCTCTGTGCAACAAATGACACTTCAGTGGCTTCCTTCCCCCGAATGCGATCAGATAGTACAGCGTGGGGCAAAAGTAGGTTTAGATTTAGAGTCGTGAGTACAGTAGAGGAAACATAGAGTTCATTCTTGTACTATTACTTATTGATTATTGTATTATTTTTAATACAAACAACTGTATATAATATGGACAATTTTACTACTAAGCAGAGTTTAGACACTGTAAAAATTACTTTAAAAGAAGATCAAGAAATCGAATTTGCCTATTCTGCTACTCTTATAAGCAGACATTATTTTAAAACATTTTGAAAAAAAATAAACAGATCTATATATATTTAATAATTTAGAGTGAGTCTTAGTAACAAAATTGGTGCTTGTCAAATATTTAAGTATTTGGGGAAACTTAGCTGCAGACTGAGAAGGCACTGTCAGAAGATTTTAAAAAATGGGGAAAATATGTTTGGTTAATGTAACCTCCACAAAGGCAAATTTAGTATAAAGTAAACGAATGTGATGATTATGCAAAGCTGGGAAAGGTTGAGGGTTTATATTTTTGCTTGCGTCAAACCACTTATTTTGCTGAATTTTTCTGAGTGGCTTCATCCCAAGTGAGCACTTCAAAGCCATCAGAATAGAAGGAGAGCTTAAAATCAAGATGAAAGGGTCCCTTGCTCCATTTGGGCTGGCATTACATATAAGGGTTTTCTCCCCTAATTGCTGCCTGCTTAAATGCTATTGATATTCTCTGATATGTTATTTAACTGGAGAATGGAAATAAACAAGTAGAAAACAATAAAAATTTGCATAAAAATGAAGCTTTTGTATAAACTGCATACTTTGATGGAGAAAAGAAGAAAGAGACAAAGGTTCTGTATTGTGTATTATTAACATACTAGAGGCCTGTTGCATGAAGAGATTAGTGCAATGGGCCTTCCTTTCCCCTGGCTGCTGGAACCAGTTTGCCTCTGGTACCCGGGGCCCAGGCCTTCGCTCTGGCGAGTTCTGGCCGGAGCCGGCCCCAGAAACGTCAGGCTTCACTGCTCCACTGGCCCTGGGCCTTCAGGCTTTGCTCCACTGCTTGGAGCCTATGTATGCAAATTAACCACCATCTTTGTTGGCAGTTAATTTGCATATTGCACTGATTAGCCAATGGGAGGCATAGCAAATGTATGGTCAATTACCATGTTTGTTTATTATTAGATAGGATAGTTATTTAGCTCTTGCATGGTTTGGCTCAGTGGATAGAGTGTCAGCCCCAGGACTGAAGGGTCCTGGGTTTGATTCCAGTCAAGGGCATGTACCTCAGTTGCAAGCTTGATCCCTGGAAACTGATCAAAGTGTCTCTTTCACATCAATATTTCTCTGTCTGTCCCCCTCCCTTCCACTCTCTCTAAAAATCAATGAAAAAATATCCCCAGGAGAGGATTAACAACAACAAAAAAGATACAAACATATAGTCACTTAAATGTAATCCTATGCTCATGAATATTATGATAAAACAGAAATCAAATATGTGTACTTAACATAGCCATTTTAAGAAACATATTTGGGTTGATCTTTCTGGAGATTTAGCTTGTTATATACAGAAAGATAAAAAACCAAAAGGAATTGAATATTTCCAGGTAGTAAAATAATACATGATTTTTTTGGCTTCTTCCTATGTATTTCTATTATCAAACCCTCTGCAATGTAGAAATATGCTTTTATGTGTAGAGAATAAGAGAAAAATATAACTCTGCAAGTGCATTCGGGTATTCGAAATTGAGTGATGATGTGTCAATGTAGATTCATCAATTGTAAGAAATGTACCACGACACGACATTTACTCAAGATGCTACTGGTGACAGATGACTTTGCATTTTTTATTTATTATCATGGCATTGATTATGAGCAAGCTATTTAGTGACTCCATGTATTAAAATTAGACTTACACTTATTGACTTCTTGAATATTTCAGGCACTACTTTCACATTCATTATCTCATCTTGCTCTCTAATAACCAGTGAGGGAGTCTCATTCCTATTTTATGGTGGAGGAAACTCGATTACTAAGAATTAAATCCAAGTTCACAAAGCAAGCCATAGAGAGTGAGTTAGGCCATGAACTTGGTTCCCCAGACTGTGTGTCTAGTGCTTTTCCACTACACCATTTTAACCTTAGTTGTTCATCAGGTTTATATGATTCAGATCTAGGGTGCATTTAGCAATACTCTTTTTTCTTATCTAAAGAATTGGATAACCATTACTTACAATTACCTTGCATAATCCTTAATTAGTTCAAAGGGAGGGTGGGGAACTAGGAGACTCAAGGCAAGGTATTCCTTCCAGGCAGAGGAACAAGTATTAGACAAAATATTCTGCATATCTAGTACTGCTGTAGATGCGAATACTTCACATGGAGTTAATTATCAAATGATTTTACACTTTTCTTCTGATTTTTTTCTCTACCTACTTTTCCATCCATACTGCCAATAATTGAGTTTTATATAATCTTTTATGAAATAATATCAGAAAATATAATTAACATGGATTGATATGCCAGGTACTCTGCCAAGCAATTTATATTGATTATCTGATTCATCCTATTAAAACCCTGAAAAATACAATATCTCACTAAACAAAACTATATATTCTTATCATATAATCCAGCAATCTCACACCTTGGTATTTAACCCAAAGAGTTGAGAATTATCTACACAAAAACCTGCACACGGGTGTTTATAGCAGCTTTATTCATAATTGCTAAAACTTGTAAGTAACCAAGTTGCCCTTCAGTAGGTGAATAGATAAATAAATGGTGCTATGTCCAAACAATGGAATATTATAAAGTGCTAAAAATGAAATGAGCTATTAAGCTAGGAAAGAAACATGGAGGAACATTATACTAAGTGAAAACAACAACAACAATCTGATAAAGGCTACATTCTGTATGATTCCAACTGTATACCATTCTGAAAAAAAATCAAAACTATAGATATAGTAAAAAGATTAATTGTTGCCAGGTGCTGTGAGGGTGGGTGGATAAATAGACCAAGTACAGATAACTTTTAGGACAGTAGAATACTCTGTATGATAGCATGACAGATATATACCATTATACATTGTTCAAACATGTAGAATGTACCATAATGTAGAGTGAACCATAATGTAAACTATGGACTTTGGGTGATGCTGTGTCAATGTAAGTTCATCAATTACATACAAGAAATGTACCACTCTGATGGGGGATATTTTTTTTTTTTATATTTTATTGATTTTTTACAGAGAGGAAGGGAGTGAGATAGAGAGTCAGAAACATCGATGAGAGAGAAACATCGATCAGCTGCCTCCTGCATATCCCCCACCGGGGATGTGCCCGCAACCCAGGTACATGCCCTTGACCGGAATCGAACCTGGGACCTTTCAGTCCGCAGGCCGACGCTCTATCCACTGAGCCAAACCGGTTTCGGCTGATGGGGGATATTTTTAATGAGGGAGGCTATGCATGTGTGGTTACAGGAGGTATATGAGAAAGCTCTGTACCTGTCCCTCAATTTTGTTGTGAACCTAAAACTGCTCTAAGAGTATAAATTTTCTTTTTCTAAATCTCATTGAGGCATAGAGAAGTTAAGACATTTCCCCAAAGTTAGACACTTAGTCAATGGTATAGCTGGACTTTGAACCCAAACAATCTATTTCATTCTGAATGATGACAATAAGTTGTCTTTTTCTTCCTGATAATGAGCTTTCTCCTTCTACAGAGAGGAAGGGAGAGAGATAGAGAGTTAGAAACATCGATGAGAGAGAAACATCGATTAGCCGCCTCCTGCACACCCCCTACTGGGGATGTGCCTGCAACCAAGGTACATGCCCTTGACCGGAATCGAACCCGGGACCCTTCAGTCTGCAGGCTGACGTTCTATCCACTGAGCCAAACCGGTTTTGGCAGAGCTTTCTCCTTCTAATTTGTCCTTCTTTCAGTCTTTGTAAAAATTATATTTTTTTTCAAGATCAC